GCGGTAGACAATAGACAGGAGAATGTGTGTGTGTGTGTGTGTGTGTGTGTGTGTGTGTGTGTGTGTGTGTGAGAGAGAGAGAGAGAGGGCGGGGGGGCAAAAAGAGGATAGGAGGTAGTGATTGTTTAACTACATTATATTCTTCTCCTCAGATTCTTTCACCTACCTATCACTACTCCTAAGGCTATACAGGGGACACTTGCAAACATAGCTATATACCTCTCTCGGTGAAGGGAGGTTACCTCTCTCAGCGGCGGGAGTGAAAAAGGTGACATGGTTCTGGGGGGGGGAAGGGAAAGAGGTGGGAAGGTTGCAGCCAACTACCGCTAGAGCGGAGCTGCTACTGATGATGGCAGGAGAAGGTTCACACATGAGTCAACGATGAAATGATACGGTCTTGTTAACCTGCCGAAGTAGTCCGGAGTCAGGAGGAAGGAAAACAATGTTTCCACACAAAAATCAGCATCCAAATGACAATCGAAGGGCATACTCACACTACCGCTTTCTAAATGTATCTGAGCACAATTACGACCTTGTGTGGATGTACCTGATAGAAATCGCGTTTGGAGCTTAAAAAGGTCCAATGTGAGGAGGGCTCAAGCAGCAGCCACGGTCGACAAGGCCGCTCGAAAGGTTTGAGAGAAAAATGTAGCTTAGGGTTGCGCTCCACTGCAGGGGTTTTCGAGGAATTCCCCGAAGACCTTTAAGAACGGTGCTCATGCTGTAAGAATTCTTGGGGCTCCACTTGCCTGCCCTTTCGGGACTCTCACGAGACAGTGCCCCTCAAGCACGGGCAACAAGTGGCCGGATGCATTTAATCATTTTTGGGGGAACTATTGGAAAACGATAGCAGCACACGTAGTCTCAAGTTAAGAACCCAATGGGGCGCTGAGGAAGGACGAATTGGCGCTCAAGCGCTCCGTTCCGCTCAGGTGCCCGCCGGGGGCTGAGTTTTGCGCGTAAGGAAATCCCCAGGTACGACGCGCGGTTGCTTCCTCGTTCACTCCGCCATCGATGACGGAGAACGAGGGCATGGTTTCACTCACTCATTGTGGGTGCCGCTTGCCGGTTATGCCTATGCCTGTGAAGTAGCCCCAGTCGTACTAGTAGGTACTAGGAGAT